CTATTTTATTAAAGAAAGATGCAGCCTCTCAGTAGGCAGGGGACACACAACAAGAAGGGAGTTTGTTACATCAATAGAATCCATGAGAGTGTCTAGAATTAAATATCCCTCCCCCTGTGATCAGCGGAACCGCTCCTGTGAAGTTAACAAGATCTGTGCCTTTTTGTCACTTTAGGTTTCTTTATAGTAATTTCTATTGAACTATTACTTTCTTCCCCCAATGTTCTTTCTCTCTGATTCATCACTGCATGCAATAGCATGGGGTTCCAGAGTGCTTACAGTAAGCACATCCATTCAAAGAGGTCTATGCGTGACTTCATAGGCTATATTCTATTTCATTCTTATAAGCCTTTGCAAAGGAAACACAACAACACTGTACTGGGTTATAGCTCCACTTTTTATGTATCGACAATCCGTAGGCTATGATTGCCAAGGACCAAAACTGGAGCAACTGGAAGTCTTCCCCAAGGAATCTGCATGGAGCACTTTTAGCACAATCCTGTTGGGTGTGAATAATTGACACACATAGTTTGGAGGTATGGCTTAATGGTATGAACACAGGGACAGAGGAAGCTGCCTTCTATTGAATTTATGCAGCCTTTATGTCTTTCACAAACTGTGGAACTTGAAACAGAGGCAACTGATTTTTTAAATGCCCAATATATGCACGAAGTCAGAAAATCTTCTTAAGCAGGAAAATTGTAGCCGATTTCAATTTTGTTACTTTGCTTGCTTACTCTGCTGTTGGGGGATCAGTCTATGTAGTGCTATCACTCACGATATAGTGAGAAGTGCAAGGCTCTTCATGTTATGTAATGATCCGAGACCCTTCTGTATCACTCTCCACTGATCTGAAAAATAAGCAATTTCAGAAGGATCGTCATCAAAACTAGAAAAAGCTTTGGTGCAGCAGAGGTCTTCTTGTTTTGCTTTTTAAGAGAAAGAAATCTGACATAACTTCCATATCCGCAAAACTGTCCTAGTGCAAGATCAGTGGGCAGGTTGAAATGCTTTTTCAATAATCTCCAGCATCTCTTATTTCTTTTGGAATGAAGGTTTGCCTCTCCTCCTCTGTGTTATTGAGAACTGGTTCAGCAAAAGTGACGTCTGCCCCAAGATTTCCTGGCCTCAGCATTTATACAGTCGGGCTCTTTTTATATGAACACCATGTGCTGAGTCACACATTCATGTCCATCAGACGAGGGCTGCAGTATCAGGTGGTGAATGGAGCATGACAGATCCAAATCCAGAGGAAGCACATTTGCTGTGTAATGCTTTTCACTGGACCCGGCTTACCTAGGACTCAGTTATACAGCTGCAAATAAAACGTTTTGAATGTGTTGTAAATGCAATATACAATTGTGACCCTAGATGGCGACTGTGAGCTATAGCAAAGTCATTTTTTTAAAAAAAAAATTTCCACAATGTCTTTAACATGTGTGTAGATTGCACCTTAGTCAGCTGCCACTTTTCAAAATAAAGAAGTCGAGTGATTTATCTAAGACAGGGATTCCCAAGCTGTGGTGCATGAACAAGTCGTCTGCAAGCATGTCCGCAACATGTCTGCATTAGATATTCATACTGATGGCTTATTGTATTTTTATTGCTTCTTTTATTTCTTATGTTGTATTTTATTGTATTACAATTTGCATTCTATGCATTCCGACTGATCCACTGCAGGATTTATGGGCAAGAAATGCATGAGAAATGGTAAATCAAACACTTCTTGTGGCCAGACAGTTAGAAAAATCATGCCCTTCTTAGTATTGAGTTCTGGATGTGAGGTGTAACAGACAGTGGCTGGAAAGCATGGAGAACAAATGAGAATGAATGTTCATTAAATAGCCAGCATTGTCTAAGCTCCCTGTCATCATCTGGAAGTGCCCTTGGTGTGTATTCTTGAAGGACCATAGCTCAGTGGTAGAGCATCTAGGTTCTAGGTTCAATCCTTGGCATTTCCAAGTAGGCTAGGAAAAGCCTCGGATCTGAAACCCTGGGGAGCCACTGCCAGTCAGTGTAGAGAATATTGAGATAGATGGGCCAGTGGTCTGACTCAGTAGAAGGCAGTTTCCTAGATTCCCTGCGAGAAAGCAAGTTTATGCATGAACAAAACAGGCACTTTCAGACATGCCCACTGGTGTAGATGAGAGATGTAAAAATGTAACATATGGAAAAGTTTGGATGGTGCTGTGTCATCCCCTATTCCGATATGGGGAAAAGACATCAGCAGAAGCAACCTGAGCTTTGAAAGGGAGAAGGACGTTCTCTGGATTGCAGCCAGACAACCCTAACATGTCATTATGTGCAAGCTATGATACGTTTGCATATTGCAAACTCCTTGCAGCTCCTTGAAAAGCACAGAGGTGCATAGTACGTTCAGCACCCATTCCCATTTAGGCAAAGAGGTATTTAAGAAAGCAGGCAGCTGAGTGCTCTGCAACAGAGTTTCTAGAGAGCTTTAAGTGTGTATCCATTGATCCTTGGGCTGTTTTTTTTTTAAAAAAAACCTGTAAGAAAAGAAAAATCCATACTAGACAAATTTATCCAACTGAACTTTGTTTTAAGACTTGAGAGAGGGTCAAGTGTTTCACGTCTCCCGCCCCCGAATTTCTCTGATGTCTTACAAGAGGATTTAGACAATGGCTGAAGGGAAAAAAGCGACTGAACCGAGATACTGCAAGTTGTAGCTACAGGCACCGTCGCCGCTCAGGAAATGGATTTTTTTCGATTGCAATGAAAATTACATGCACTGGAGTACTTATACTTCATAATAGCTACATTCTTCATGCTATCGGTTCATTACTTGCTGAAGGTGAAAACGGAGATGCAAAGTTTTTAATGAGGCAAAATGTCAGATAGAAGAAGATGATGGGTGGAATCCGATTGGTGCCCTTGCATTCATGATCCAGCAGAGGTGTGCGTTAAGAGATTGTGTGTGTGGATTTTGCTGATTCCCCTTCTCCATTGCAGACCCCCGAAAAACAGCCCCAGAATGTTGGGGGACCCTCCAGAGCAGGGTGGAAAATGGCACGGAGGACTGGAGTGGGAAGCTTCCATTAGCACGCAGTGGGCACACCTGCAGCCCAGGGGTCAAATGTGGGCACAGCTTCATTTTATGTGGCCCACAAACACTTCAGGAAGACCCTTTCTTCCATCAAATCAGAGTTATTTCCTTCCTGCTTACTTCTTCCTTATTCTTCCTGGCTTTTCAAAACGTCCTCTTCTTTTTGTGCCATTTCAGAGCAACTGTAAGGGGTGGTATTTCATTTGATTGTAAAAATAAATAAATGACTTTTTAAAACCCTTTTTCATAGTATGACATGGGGGAAATTAATTTGTTTTCTTAGCTGTCTGGAAAATTGGTAGGCTTCTGTTATGTATGTGCTTTCTAGAATAGTAATTGTATTTGCTCTGCTTTTTTTTAAAAGACCATATTTTGGAATAAGCCTATCAAGCCTACGACAGCTTACTTTCGAGTAGACATGAATGGGATTGAGAATTTTACTCTGAGGTAACCATGGTGAAAATTAAACCAGGGTGGTCTTTATTCTGGATTAACTAATCCAGCCCAAGTCATTTCAGCACCTGAGGTAGACCAAATCATGGTGGAAAAATGATCAACGTTGGGATCTGCTGGCCCTGTGGACCCTGCCGCCTGAGGTGGTTGCCTCAGTGTGCCTCACGGGTGGGCCGGCTCTTCTCTCTAGCTTTCTCCCAGGATTGTTGTGAGCTTTTGGCAGGAAAAACAGGATTAAAATGTAAAAAATTTAAAAAAAATTAACGGAAACTAAAACCCTCCTTAAAATGAGGAAGTCCCAATGGCGACTTTGGACATTCCTCTAAGAATAGGTATGTAGCAAGTATCAATGTGCCTCAGTCTGTTCCAACATTGATTCATACATTCATCCAGTATTTTCAGTTTCACTGTAAATGGTTTATTTTGCACAAGTCTTTCTTTCATTTTTTTTTGTCTGCTGATGTGGAAAGGTGTCTTTTTTTACATATATCATAGCATACAACAGACACCTCTAGCTCAATCATCAACAGCTATTTACAAATCAACTGCCTCCCCACATGTGTTGTCTTTCAAAGCTAATGGATTTCCTTCATAAGGTAGGACACCTAGCCCCCTTGCCCCCCTGTTTTTGAAGGGTTGCCATTGAGCTTAGAAATGGAAGATACTGAAAATGGAAGCTAGCTAACAAGGAAGTTAATGTCTCTGACTAGATCTTATTAGGGAACAGAGTAATTAAACAAGAGAGGAGAGAAGCAGCCCTCAATAGCAAACAACACAAACGGTGTCATTGTTTCGAAAGGCGGGTGTTCTCAAAACGTTTAGCACACAGATATCCTGAAGGCAGAGACATTGTTTTGTGCCATCACGCATTTGGAATGTACAGAGTTGTGTCTCTGACTATAACAGGAACTGAAGCTTTAAATATGACAAACCCTGGTTTGCCTAATGAATTTTCAGAATAACCTCCTGAGGCCAGCGAGGAAATTGACATCTGGCTTCCAGCAGGGATTATCAATTTGATTTTGTATCTTGATTCTATTTCAGCTGTGTGGAAGGAGGAAAATTGTGACTGGATTGAGGAGACGGAAATGCCTTAGAAAAAATAAAGAAAGCAGGTTTTATCCATGTCTGGTTCCAGGTTTGTATGAAATAATCCACAGGTACCTGACTCTAACCTCACTTTTGTAAAATGCTTTTGATTGATACTGCCCATGAGAAGATATAGAGGGAGCATGATGTGCCTGTAGTATATGAAGTCATCTTCTTTCCTCTTATACTGTGCTTGCTTTTAAAATCTTTCTAAGGCTGCAATCCTTACTGCAGTGTTTTAATTCCCCTCCCCCCTTTATGTCAACCCCACTGGAAATCTGACTGAAGGATTGTATACAAATAGTTATAGGGCTGGATCCAGGCTTAATGTAGGAAACAAGTGTATTCTCTCCTGTCACTACTGTTGCTGTGGCATTCTGGGAGGGCGAGAGGCGAGGTGGTGGTGAGGTTGACACAGTGCAAACACATTGGTGGAGCCAATCTGAAGCTTCTGCCAGTGCGTTTGCACTGTGCCAACCTCACCACCACCTCGCATCACTCCCCTCTCCCAGAACATCACAGCTATGGCACTGATGCAATTACTAGAGCCTCTTATAGGATAAACCTTAGTAAAATGATAACAGGAAGGGAAGGCAGGCAGTGAGATAACCGATTTATAGAGAAATGGAATGTTTGTTATGTTTTGGAAAAAACAGAGTTTGAGATCTTACTGTTGGCCTAGAATAATATAATAATTAAACTATATTCTTTTGGTTAAGGGAGACAAATGATAGAACCATGCAGATGTTGCAACGTAAGTTACTGATGCTAAAATTCTAAGACTACATAAAATGCTGTTGAACACAGTATAAATAAATATTGCAACGAGCCTTTGGTCGTCATACCTGTATTTTATAGATATGATAACCATTTTCTAATATCTAAAGGGCTGTCACATCATTAATAATAATAATAATAATAATAATAATAATAATAATAATAATATATTACTTATACCCCGCCCATCTGGCCAGGCCTCCCCAGTCACTCCGGGTGGCTTCCAACAGGATATTAAAAACACGATAAAAGATCAAACATTAAAAACTTCCCTAAACAGGACTACCTTCAGATGTCTTCTAATATCAGATAGTTGTGTATTTCCTTGACATCTGGTGGGAGGGTGTTCCACAGGGCGGGCGCCACTGCTGAGAAGGCCCTCTGCCTGGAAGAGGGAACAAGCTTGTTTTCTCCTGCTCTGGAGGGCAGAATTTCAACAAATGCCTTCAAGTTACAAGAAAGGAGATTCCGACTAAACATCAGGAAAAACTTTCTGACAGTAAGAGTTGTTCGACAGTGGAACAAACTCCCTCGGGAGGTTGTGGACTCTACTTCCTTGGAGGTTTTCAAGCAGAGGTTGGCTAGCCATCTGCGGGGGATGGTTTAGCATTCTACCGTTCAATGATCAACAAAATTTATCTTTTATGCTGGTGTCTGCAATCCTATCCACAAATATCTGGAAGTAGGCCCTTTGAATTTAGTGGGACATCTGAGGAGACAAGGTTAGGATTATGCTGTCTGTTTTTTATGTTTATGCATTATGTTGTTGTGCCATTGTGTTAGTTGTAAACCACAGGGGTCATTATTTTGCAGTGAAAAGGCAGCAGATAATACAGATAATAAATGAGCAAATTGTGATAATTATCTGTAGAAATGTCAGTAGCCATTGCTATTAAGGCTGAGCCTTATGGGTGGATGCAGTTCACTTTAAATGCTAAATCCTGTGAGAATTTAGCTCTTTTGTTTTAAGGGCAAGACAGGAATAGTAAGAAATGACCCAGCTAAAAGAATGAAGCCATCATTTTTCAGATAGAAAACAAGCCGGAGGTTGATTGGAACAAGCTAGGGGTATCAAAATACCATGTTGCCAAAAAAGCCATCATAATCTCGGAATGGATAAACATAAGGACCACCTCATTCTCTGCTTCTGCCAAGCACTTCACTAAAGAAACAGAGAGAAGACAAATGCCAGGAAGCTCTTCCTTAACTGCCTCCATGAGAAGGAAATTATAGACCTGGCTTTGCCTCCTATGGTGTCTTTTAGAATCAGCCCCTCAAAACCTGAGGTATCTCTCAGGCATTAGAGAAAACATTTTTTTTTAAAGGGACTGCAGATGTAATAACAGATAACAAACAAGCACTTGATAAAATAGCAGTTTTGGAAACGTTGAAGCTGCAGAAAACTCCTGAAGAAATCAAAAAAATTAAAAAGCACACACAGAGACACAAATATAGAGAAAAAGAAGGCAATGGGTGATCTCCACTCATCTTGATGCAGAAATATGGGCTTGTTAATTACAAGTTTTCTTACACTTTGTCCACAGCTGAGCCTAATGTGTATTTGAAACTGTTTGCATTCCTATTTAAGTTTGCCCACATGACATCACCCTCAAACAGCTCCTATCCTGCCGGCGTTCCCCTGTAAATTTGGGTTTTCTCAATGAAGGGATAATCCAATAAGTTTTGGAAAATGTGACTCCAAACTGCTCCACTCAAAACAGTAGCAGCATTGCCTCATTTTTCCCCCGGGGGTGGATCAAGCATCCATTTTTGCTACTACCTGTTCTGCACACCATAGATCACCCTAATGTCAGTTCTGTTCTGGCAGCAGTGGTGCTTATTTCCAGCAACCCCCACAGCTGCTTGGTTTTTTTTAAAAAAACAGATTTGTGCAAAACAGCCCCCCCTCCATGATTTCTCCTTGCTTCTTTCCACCACTATTGATTTCATTGTATATTACTGTATTGATTTCTTCCACAACCATCTTTCTGTTGGGGAGTGGAACGTGCCTTTTGCTTTAGGAGTGGTGTTTGCATTAAATTGGGAATTCCTGGTTAGGTGCAGTTGCGCAATTCCTGGGCAGACACTTTTATCTTTTTTTAAAAAGGCGTGTGCACTGCTGAGCTGATTCCAGTGCACACGCTCCATTTGTGCAAAAATTAACACATATGAATCAACAAATTGAAAGCCAAAAGGGAACACCTACTGTTATGAACAAAAACAAGTGAATTTGGTCTTCAACTGCAAGTATGCATGTCTGTGGACCGATGAGGTCAAATCTGAATGGAGAAAACATGGATTCCACATGAGTTCCAGCTCAAATGTGGACAGGCCCTTAGTGAGAGTCTTGGCAAGAGCCTTATGCTGTCCCAGCATGCTAATTCATTTGTCTTCTTATACAGTGGTACCTCGTGTTAAGTACTTAATTTTTCCGTTCTTAACCTGAAACTGTACTTAACCCGAAGCACCACTTTAGCTTATGGGGCCTCCCGCTGCCGCCGCGCCTCTGGATCACGATTTCTGTTCTCATCCTGAAGCAAAGTTCTTAACCTGAGGTACTATTTCTGGGTTAGCGGAGTCTGTAACCTGAAGCGTATGTAACCTGAAGTGTATGTAACCCTCCTGGGAACGAAAGCTTCCAGAACTGGGCATGGCTGAAAAGCACTTGGCTCACACCACTTGGAACGAGTGTGAGGGTTTAGATATTGGGGGGGGGGGGGAGGGGAGGGGAGGGACAGCAACCACATAAACAGTTTGCAAGAAATTATCTGGAAAATTGACTTATACAGAACCCGCAGCTCCGTCCTCCCAAAAGCTCTGCTTTATGGGTTGACCTAGTTATATCGTTCAGAGCAATTGACAAGAGTTTTATCGAGGGTAAGGTTAAACAATTTCAGATTCTCTGAACCTTGAGGTTATTTGGGGATGGGGCAATAAAGACAGTAAAGACTGTAATACCATGCAGATAGTCCCTTTCTGGTCTATGAGGTGTCCCATTTTCCTGGAAGGCTGGCGGACTTCTTAAAAACAACCCGCCTGTTTGGTGCGCATAGCAGAATCCATCAGATAGCCGGGGTATGAAACTGCATGTAAATTGGCTTTCGGAGCTCGAATGGAAGGCTCCAGACATTCAAGTGTGGAAAATCTGTCATCATGTCTCTCTGCCATTTTACCTGCCGTAACTTTCTCTCCGCATTACAGGAAATGATAGCAATCTTACTGTAATACTTCATTAAAGTCCAGCTGGAATGACATGCAGCAGAGCCCTGTAAAATGATGGCTACACTTACTCAAGCAGTACCCCAGCACAAGGACATAAAATATCGCAGAGAGCCTTCAGTAAAAAAAACCAAAATTCCTCCCTGCACTTCCATTTCTATAAATATGTCTTTTGAAAGGACCAAGAAAAAAAAAGGAGGGGGGGGGAGGATACATTTTCAAAACCAATCCCAAGCAGACGGCAGGAAAAGCAAAAAAATAAAAAAGGCAACATAGGAATGACACAGTGCGGCTTCAGACTGTCAGAGCATCAGCTAGAGTTATGTATAGGGCTAGGAGATGCCTGAACCAAAATAAGTCTGGGTAAATAAAAACATAAGTCATTTTTATGACGCTGAGTCATGAAAGCAATAAAAACCCTGTTTAAATTCACAAGGGGTGATTGATGGAACAGCTTCCCCCCTTTCAAACATGGAAGCAATTAAACAAAACTTGATTAACTCTTGTATTGCCTACATTAGATGTTGCTTGGTATACGGATGCTTTAAGAGATTGGCTTTATATTGTAATGTCTACTGCCGTTATAGTAACTATTGATTCAGGACCTAACAGAAGATATGCTCAGATCTTTGCTACAATTCTGTATATCCATGTTCTTCATCTGTATATTTCGCATTGAAGTTTTTAACTACAGTGGTACCTCGGGTTAAGTACTTAATTCGTTCCGGAGCTCCGTACTTAACCTGAAACTGTTCTTAACCTGAAGCACCACTTTAGCTAATGGGGCCTCCTGCTGCTGCTGCGCCACCAGAGCATGATTTCTGTTCTCATCCTGAAGCAAAGTTCTTAACCTGAAGCACTATTTCTGGGTTAGCGGAGTCTGTAACCTGAAGCATATGTAACCTGAAGCATATGTAACCTGAGGTACCACTGTATTATTATTGCATAGATTTTGGTTTCATTGTATGCTGCTTTGCGATTTTAAAAAGAAAAATGGTTATAAGGTATTTTCAATAAATAAAACAAAAGATATCCTGAGCTCTTACCATGTTTCCTTCCATCACCGCTTAGTACCCTCCTCTTAGAGTGCTTTCAAAATTTGTCTTCTAACCTAGGCCCATTTGGCACCACAAGTCAAGGAAAACTCATATTGGCTACGAAATTGTTTTCTGCTTATGAGAAGTCAAAACAGGATTCATAGTGTGCAGATATATGTCACTATCTTTAAGATGAAGAGACTCTGAACAGCAGGTCTATCCCATTAGTTTGGCAGATAGTAAAACAGTTAAGTTGAGTTGATGTTGTTATAGTACATATATGTGGGCTTGCTTATTCATACAATATCTCCTCTAAATTACTATATTGAATTTGGAAACTTCACATTATAGACAACATGCACAGTGCATTGGCTTTCTTCGTATAAATGATCTCTGACCTACTGGAGTTATCACAATTTTGATGCTTCCTATAAAGCTGGCTGAGCAAGAAATAATCCT